CATCCTCCTCCACATCCTCCCCCAACTCCTCCTCTACATCCTCCTCCTCCACATCCTCCTCCTCCACAACCTCCCCCTCCTCCACATCCTCCTCCTCCTCCTCCACATCATCCTCCTCCTCCTCCAAAGCCTCCTCCTTCTCCACATCCTCGTCCTCCACATCCTCCTCCTCCACATCCTCCTCCTCCACATCCTCCCCCTCCTCCTCCAAATCCTCCCCCTCCTCCACATCCTCGTCCTCCACATCCTCCTCCTCCACATCCTCCTCCACATCCTCCCCCTCCTCCTCCTCCACATCCTCCTCCTCCTCCAAATGCTCCTCCTCCTCCACATCCTCCCCCTCCTCCTCCACATCCTCCTCCTCCCCCTCCTGCACATCCTCCTCCTCCCCCTCCTCCTCCACATCGTCCTCCACATTCTCCTCCTCCCTCTCCTCCTCCTACTCCTCCTCCACATCCTCCTCAACATACTCCTCCACATCCTCCCCCTCCTCCTTCTACACATCCTCCTTATCCACATCCTCCCCCTCCTCCTCCTACTCCTTCTCCTCCTCCACATCCTCCCCCTCCTCTTCCTCCTCATGCTCCTCCACGTCCTCCCCATCCTCCTCCTCCACATCCTCCTCCACATCCTCCACATCCTCCCCCTCCTCTCCATCCTCCCCCTCCTCCACATCCTCCTCCTCCACATCCTCCCCCTCCTGCTCCTCCTCCACATGCTCCCCCTCCTCCTCCTCCACATCCTCCTCCTCCATATCCTCCCCCTCCTCCTCCACATCCTCCTCCTCCACATCCTCCTCCTACACATCCTCCTCCTCGTCCTCCACACCCTTCTCCCGGCTGTTGCTGCGAAGTGAGCGCTCCGCCCCCTCCCGGTGCTTGTTGGAGTTGGCATTCCCCTTCTCTTGAAGCTGAGGGTCGTGAAATGAGCCCGCCATGGATCTCGATGTACTGTCATCCTCGTCCTACTCCCCCACATCCTCCTCCTCCTCCACATCCTCCCCCTCCTCCACATCCTCCCCCTCCTCCCCCTCCTCCTCCCCCTCCTCCACATCCTCCTCCTCCACATCCTCCTCCTCCACAACCTCCTCCTCCTCCACATCCTCCTCCTCCACATCGTCCTCCTCCCCCTCCTCCTCCACATCCTCGTCCTCCACATCCTCCTCCACATCCTCCTCCACATCCTCCTCCACCTCCTCCTCCTCCTCCTCCTCCTCCTCCTCCACATCCTCCCCCTCCTCCTGCTCGTCCTCCTCCTCCACATCCTCCCCCTCCTCCACATCCTCCTTCCCCTCCTCCTCTTCCTCCTCCTGCACATCCTCCCCCTCCTCCTCCCCCTCCTCCACATCATCCTCCTCCTCCACATCCTCCTCCTCCTCCACATCCTCCTCCACCTCCTCCTCCTCCTCCTCCTCCTCCTCCACATCCTCCCCCTCCTCCTGCTCGTCCTCCTCCTCCACATCCTCCCCCTCCTCCACATCCTCCCCCTCCTCCTCTTCCTCCTCCTGCACATCCTCCCCCTCCTCCTCCCCCTCCTCCACATCATCCTCCTCCTCCACATCCTCCTCCTCCTCCACATCCTCCTCCTCCCCCTCCTCCTCCACATCCCCCTCCTCCACATCCTCCTCCTCCACATCCTCCTTCCCCTCCTCCTCTTCCTCCTCCTCCTCATCCTCCTCCTCCACATCCTCCCCCTCCTCCCCCTCCTCCACATCATCCTCCTCCTACTCCACATCCTCCTCCACATCCTCCTCCTCCACATCCTCCTCATCCACATCCTCCTCCCCCTCCTCCTCCTCCTCCACATCCTCCTCCTCCACATCCTCCCCCTCCTCCTCCACATCCTCCTCCACATCCTCCCCCTCCTCCTCCTCCACATCCTCCTCCACATCCTCCCCCTCCTCATCCTCCCCCTCCTCCACATCCTTCTCCTCCTCCACATCCTCCACATCCTCCCCCTCCTGCACATCCTCCTCCTCCCCCTCCTCCACATCCTCCCCCTCCTCCTCCTCCTCTTCCACATCCTCCTCCTCCTCCTCCACATCCTCCCCCTCCTCCTCCTGCACATCCTCCCCCTCCTCCTCCTCCTCCTCCTCCTCCTCCTCCACATCCTCCTCCTCCTCCACATCCTCCTGCACATCCTCCCCCTCCTCCACATCCTCCTCCTCCACATCCTCCTCCACATCCTCCTCCTCCACAACCTCCCCCTCCTCCTCCTCCACATCCTCCTCCTCATCCACATCCTCCTCCACATCCTCCCCCACCTCCTCCTCCACATACTCCTCCTCCACATCCTCCTCCTCCACAACCTCCCCCTCCTCCTCCTCCACAACCTCCCCCTCCTCCTCCACATCCTCCTCCTCATCATCCACATCCTCCTCCCCCTCCTCTTCCTCCTCCTCCTCCTCCTCCTCTACATCTTCCCCCTCCTCCTCCTCGTCCTCCTCCTCCTCCTCCACATCTTCCCCCTCCCCCTCCTCCACATCCTCCTCCACATCCTCCTTCCCCTCCTCCTCTTCCTCCTCCTCTTCCTCCTCCTCATCCTCCTCCTGCACATCCTCCCCCTCCTCTTCCCCCTCCTCCACATCATCCTCCTCCACATCCTCCTCCACATCCTCCTCCTCCTCCTCCTCCACATCCTCCTCCTCCACATCCTCCCTCTCCCCCTCCTCCACATCCTCCTCCTCCTGCACATCCTCCTTCCCCTCCTCCTCTTCCTCCTCCCCGTCCTCCTCCTCCTCCTCCTCCTCCTCCTCCTCCTCCCCTCCTCCTCCTCCTCATCCTCCTCCCCCTCCTCCTCCCCCTCCTCCACATCATCCTCCCCCTCCTCCTCCTCCACATCCTCCCCCTCCTCCACATCCTCCTCCTCCCCCTCCTCCTCCTCCACATCCTCCTCCTCCTCATCCACATCCTCCTCCCCCTCCTCTTCCTCCTCCTCCTCCTCCTCCTCCTCCTCCTCCACCTCCACATCCTCCTCCTCCTTGTCCTCCTCCTCCTCCACCTCCACATCCTCCCACTTCTCCACATCCTCCTCCTCCATATCCTCCTTCCCCTCCTCCTCCTCCTCCTCCTCCACATACTCCTCCTCCTCCTCCACATCCTCCTCCTCCTCCACATCCTCCCCCTCCTCCTCCTCCTCCTCCTCCACATTCTCCCCCTCCTCCTTCTCCTCCACATGCTCCTCCTCCTCCTCCTCCACATCATCCTCCTCTTCCACATCCTCCTCCCTCTCCTCCTCCACATCGTCCTCCTCCTCAACCACACCCTCCCCCTCCCTCCCTCTCCTCCTCCTCCTCCTCCTCCTCCTCCTCCTCCTCCTCCTCCTCCCCCTCCTCCACATCCTCCTCCTCCACATCCCCCCCTCCTCCTTCTCCACATCCTCTTCCTCCTTATCCACATCCTCCCCCTCCTCCTCCTCCTCCTCCTCCTCCTCCCCCTCCTCCACATCCTCCCCCTCCCCCTCCTCCTCCTCCACATCCTCCTCCACGTCCTCCTCCTCCTCCTCCTCCACATCCTCATCCTCCTCCACATCCTCCCCCTCCTCCACATCCTCCTCCTCCCCCTGCTCCTCCACATCCTCCTCCTCCACATCCTCCCCCTCCTCCACATCCTCCTCCTCCTCCCCCTCCTCCACATCCTCCTCCTCCTCCACATCCTCCTCCTCCTCCACATGCTCCTCCTCCTCCACATCCTCCCCCTCCTCCTCCTCCTCCTCCTCCTCCTCCACATCATCCTCCTCCTCCTCCACATCCTCCCCCTCCTCCTCCACATCCTCCTCCTCCACATCCTCCCCCTCCTCCTCCTCCTCCACACCCTTCTCCCGGCTGTTCCTGCGAAGTGAGCGCTTCGCCCCCTCCCCGTGCTTGTTGGAGTTGGCATTCTCCTTCTCTTGAAGCTGAGGGTCGTGAAATGAGCCCCGCATGGATCTCGATGTACCCTGTCAGGAGGCTACTGAGCTAACATACTAATCCTTGTACATTCTCTAAAACCCTAGGGACCAGGTTATTCTGTGGAGAAGGATTAAGGACGTGGATGTCTATGCTTGGACCCCAGGGCACTGAATGGGCCCTGGGTATTCCCTGTAGAAGCATAGGGACCAGGGTAGTTCCTGAATGGGCCCTGTAACCATAGGGACCCGAGTGGTTTCGACGAAACCGTGGGGTTCAGGATAGGCCCCATAGCAGCACAGGGCCGTGTGAGTAGATCGGCCCCGTAGGAGGACACGGATCTGGATAGTTGCTGTAGCATCCTAGGAATCTGGAGGGGAGCTGAGTGGTCTCTTTAGAACCCGAGACATCTGAGAAGGATCTGGATGAGACTTGTAGGATCCTGGGAACCTGTAACCATAGTGACCTGGATGTCTCTACAGGGGGGATGAGGACTTGTTTGGGATCTTAGCGGTTCTTGTTCTAAATAACTATAGGGACCTGGGAAGAACCTGGGTGGGTTCTCTAGGATCATGGTAACCTGGGTAGCCCCTGTGACTCTAGGACTCCGGGTGTGACCTGAACGGTCCCTATAGTACATTGGCGAATTTAGAAGGACCTGGATGGTTCCTTAAAGCACATGAACCTGAGGAGCTGGTTGGATACGAACTGTAACAATAGCCACCTGGATGGGATCTTGAGCGGTCCCTGTAAGAACCCTGGGAATCTGAGAAGGATTTGCATGCACCTGGATGTTAGCTGTAACCATAGCGACCTGCCTGGGACGATCTCAGGATCTTGCCAAGTTGCCCAGGGTCCACACACAGCAGAGTCGGGGGACGACCTTGGCTCGGAGCTGGGCTGTTCCCTGCGGGAAGTCCGTGAAGAAGAGCTTCATAGCTCATCGGAATCCTTTTCCAGTACAAACAAAATATAGAAAAACATTCTCGATTCTGTGCGAGGGCGCGAAAGGGCGCGATGACGTCACGACGCTGGGAGCACGCCGCGGGCGGCGGCGTGACGCGGAGTTGCGGCAAAGGGAGGAGGAGGAGGAGAGGGAGGAGGAGGCGGGAATCAGGAGGAGGAGGAGGGGCAGGGAGGAGGAGGAGCGGGGGGGAGACGCAGGGAGAAAGGGAGAGGAGGCTACAGACAGGCGAACCGCTATCCGCGGCCCGGTCATTGTCCGAGACGAGGTGAGGGATGCGCGCTCACTTCACATCATCATCACCAACATCATCACCAACATCACCATCACCAACATCATCACCACTGTCACCGTCTCGCACGGAGCGCCGAGCGAGCCGAACGCGGGCTGCTGCTGCTTCATGAGGTGGTGGTGGTGGCGGTTGTTGTTTCGGTCATGGTGGTTGGCGGTGGTTGTGTATGACGATGTTGGTTATGGTAGTTGTTGTGTATGACGATGTTGGTTTTGGTAGTTGTTGTTGTGCTGGCCGTGGCACTTGGTTGCTGTTTTGCTGTCCGCTATTCGTCCTGGCGATGAAAATTATGGTGGTGGTTGTAGCTGTGGTTGTTTTTGCTGTGGTTGATTGCCGCCCGCTATCCGAGCTGGTCGTTGTGGTTGGTGGCTCGGTGGTAGTGAGTGGTTGTTGACGATGTGTTTGGTGGTGGTGAGTGGTTGTTGACGATGTGTTTGGTGGTGGTGGTGAGTGGTTGTTGACGATGTGTTTGGTGGTGGTGAGTGGTTGTTGACGATGTGTTTGGTGGTGGTGAGTGGTTGTTGACGATGTGTTTGGTGGTGGTGGTGAGTGGTTGTTGACGATGTGTTTGGTGATGGTGGTTAGTGGTTGTTGACGATGTGTTTGGTGGTGGTGGTGAGTGGTTGTTGACGATGTGTTTGGTGGTGGTGAGTGGTTGTTGACGATGTGTTTGGTGGTGGTGAGTGGTTGTTGACGATGTGTTTGGTGGTGGTGAGTGGTTGTTGACGATGTGTTTGGTGGTGGTGGTGGTGAGTGGTTGTTGACGATGTGTTTGGTGGTGGTGGTTGTTGACGATGTGTTTGGTGGTGGTGGTGGTAGTGGTGGCTGGGAGCCTCCATGGCGCGTGGCCGACGCATATCCAGAGCGGTCCTAACGGGGCCGCGCCTGGGCCCACAGAGACGCGGGGATAGGGGACACGGGGACAGGGGATAGGGGACAGGGGACACGGGGGTGGGAGACACTGGGATAGGGGACACGGGATAGGGGACAGGGGATAGGGGACACGAACACAGGGTATCGGGGGCAGACACTGAGAAGGAGACAGGAGGAGACACTAGAATATTGGGATGGACACACAGACACTGAGAGAGGGAGACAGGGAGAGAGGAGAATTACGGAACACGGGGAGAGCGAGACCGGAGGAAAGACAGACACAGGACAATGAGACAGGAAGACTAATGTAGGGACACGGGTATAAGATGACAGAGACAGGAGGGTAGAAACGGGGACATGGAGACAAGATAACTTAAACAAGGACAGTGAGATTGAGGATAGACATGTGGACAGGGGGAAAGCAAAGAGACACAGACAGGGCGATATACACGGGGACAGGGAGACAGGAGGACAGACACGGGGACGGAGAGAGGAGGGACACGAGGTTAACGGGACATACACGGGGACAGGGGGACATGGGAATACAGTAGGCGACATGCAGACACAGGACGCAGACGACAGCCGGTCACAGACAAGAAGGCACATGGACACGGAGACACTAGGACAGAGACACCTAGTCTAGGACAGAGACACAGAGTCTAGGACAGACACAGAGACACAGGGACACAGTCTAGGACAGAGACACAGGGAAACAGAGTCAATGACAGACACAGAGACACAGAATCTATGACAGAGACAGAGACACAGTCTAGGACAGAGACACATAGTCTATGACAGAGACACAGAGACACAGAGTCTAGGACAGAGACACAGTCTAGGACAGACACACAGGGACACGGAGTCTAGGACTGAGGCACAGAGACACAGTCTAGGACAGAGACACAGGGACGCAGAGTCTAGGACAGAGACACAGAGACACAGTCTAGGACAGAGACACAGTCTAGGACAGAGACACAGTCTAGGACAGAGACACAGAGACACAGTCTAGGACAGAGACACGGAGTCTAGGACAGAGACACAGAGCCACAGAGTCTAGGACAGAGACGCAGAGACACAGAGTCTAGGACAGAGACACAGAGTCTAGGACAGAGACACAGAGACACAGTCTAGGACAGAGACACAGAGTCTAGGACAGAGACACAGAGTCTAGGACAGAGACACAGGGACACAGAGTCTAGGACAGAGACACAGGGACAGAGTCTAGGACAGAGACGCAGAGATACAGAGTCTAGGACAGTGACACAGAGACACAGTCTAGGACAGAGAGACAGTCTAGGACAGAGACAGTATAGGACAGAGACACAGAGTCTCGGACAGAGACACAGAGACACAGTCTAGGACAGAGACACAGACACAGAGTCTAGGACAGAGACACAGAGACACAGTCTAGGACAGAGACACATCGACACAGAGTCCAGGACAGAGACACAGAGTCTAGGACAGGGACACAGAGACACAGTCTAGGACAGAGACACAGAGACACAGTCTAGGACAGAGACACAGTCTAAGACAGAGACACAGAGACACAGTCTAGGACAGAGACACAGACACAGAGTCTAGGACAGAGACACAGAGACACAGTCTAGGACAGAGACACATCGACACAGAGTCCAGGACAGAGACACAGAGTCTAGGACAGGGACACAGAGACACAGTCTAGGACAGGGACACAGAGACACAGTCTAGGACAGAGACACAGAGACACAGTCTAGGACAGAGACACAGTCTAGGACAGAGACACAGTCTAAGACAGAGACACAGAGACACAGTCTAGGACAGAGACACAGAGACACAGTCTAGGACAGGGACACAGTCTAGGACAGAGACACAGAGACACAGAGTCTAGGACAGAAACACAGAGACACAGAGTCTAGGACAGAGACACAGAGACACAGAGTCTAGGACAGAGACACAGGGACACAGTCTAGGACAGAGACACAGTCTAGGATAGGGACACAGTCTAGGACAGAAACACAGAAACACGGAGTCTAGGACAGAGACACAGAGACACAGAGTCTAGGGCAGAGACACACAGTCTAGGACAGACACAGAGACACAGTCTAGGACAGAGACAGTATAGGACAGAGACACAGTCTAGGACAGAGACACAGTCTAGGACAGAGACACACGGACACAGTCTAGGACAGAAACACAGAGTCTAGGATAGAGACACGGAGTCTAGGACAGAGACACAGAGACACAGTCTAGGACAGAGACACAGAGTCTAGGACAGAGACACAGTCTAGGACAGAGACACAGGGACAGAGTCTAGGACAGAGACACAGAGTCTACGACAGAAACACAGAGACACAGAGTCTAGGACAGAGACACAGAGACACAGTCTAGGACAGAGACACATCGACACAGAGTTCAAGAGAGAGACAGTCTAGGACAGAGACACAGAGTCTAGGAAAGGGACACAGAGACACAGTCTAGGACAGAGACACAGAGACACAGTCTAAGACAGAGACACAGGGACACAGTCTAGGACAGAGGCACAGAGACACAGAGTCTAGGACAGAGACAGAGGGACACAGAGTCTAGGACAGAGACACAGAGTGTAGGACAGAGACACAGTCTAGGACAGAGATGCAGATATACAGTCTAGGACAGAGACACAGAGACACAGTCTAGGACAGAGACACAGGGACATAGTCTAGGACAGGGACACAGTCTAGGACAGAAACACAGAGACACGGAGTCTAGGACAGAGACACATAGACACAGAGTCTAGGACAGAGACATAGTCTAGGACAGATACACAGAGTCTTGGGCAGAGACACAGAGACACAGTCTAGGACAGAGACACAGGGACACAGTCTAGGACAGAGACACAGAGTCTAGAACAGAGACAGTCTAGGACAGAAACACAGAGACACAGTCTAGGACAGAAACACAGAGACACAGTCTAGGACAGAAACACAGGGACACAGTCTAGGACAGAGACACAGGGACACAGAGTCTAGGACAGAGACACAGAGACACAGTCTAGGACAGAGACACAGAGACACAGTCTAGGACAGAAACACAGAGACAGTCTAGGACATGGACATATTGGACACAGAGACGAGGACTCTGAGGCACAGGGACAACAGTCGAGGACAGAGAGGGCAGAGACACGGGTTTAGACAAATGCCCTAGCCCAGGAGGGAGAGTAAGCAGGTTAAGTTTGTGGCTGAGTGGACCTTGGTGTAGCACAGCACGGAAGGCAGTGGCCACAATGCTCCATGCAGAGCCTCACCGCTCCTCTCCTGTCTCCCCCGTGCTGTCTCCACCCGAGTGGGAGCTCCATCTCGTTTCGTGCGTTCCGTCTCCCTCGTGCCGTCCGATTCTCGTGTCCTGTCTCTTCTTCCGTTCGTTTGTCCTGTGGTTGTGCTGTCGTGCTCTCTCTCTGTTTTGGCCTTGTGCTGTTTGTCCCGCCTGTTGTTGTCCCTCGTGTTCTGTCTTGTCCTCGATACATTGTGCCTTGTGCTCTCTTGTCTATCGTCTCTGGTGGTGCCGTCTGATGTCCTCCGTGTTGTGTGCTCCCCGCGTCACGTGCTCGTGACCACACGATTGTGTTCATCGGCGTCTTGGCGTCACGAGACGAGGAATCCACTCGCGTCTCTCCCGCAGAGCAGTGCGACCCTCCTTTGTTTTAGAGAATGGCCCACGGAAGCAGATAGCACAGAACTGCCTCTGAGATCCCTTCTTCTTCAAGTGACCGCTGGTCCACACACAGTAAAGCGCAGGATTTCCCACTCGCACTCCCACGTGAGAGTAATGTGCATTACGGGACAGTCAAATAGGAGACGAGAATTGGGCCACATTTTTATTGTTCAATCATTGGTGACTGGGCTGAGACCATCACCTCACGACACTTGAGAACCTGGTGTAATTACTTCCCAGTTTGTGTGAATTTATGGGTCTGTGTGTGAGTCTACAGGTCTCTCTGTGTGTGGGTTGTCTGTGTGAGTTTTTAGGTCTCTGAGAGTCACTGACAGGGGTTGAGACCATCACCTCACAACACTTCAGAACCTGGTGTAATTACTACCCAGTTTGTGTGAATCTATGGGTCTCTTGCCTTGTTCCCCACGTACCAG